ATTTTTTTCATTTTTTAACTTAATCATTTGCAGTGTGCTGCTGGAGAAACTTGTCAGAACGGAACATGTGTCAGTCCTGGTTGCAATAGTAATGCACAGTGTTCCAACGGTAATCTAGTTGGGCAATCTACTAATGTTACTGTTACTGCTACAGGCAACTGCATAAACAGTACCTGCTATCTTTGCGCCTCTTGTACAGCTACATCATTGTGCGAAAGCATTTTAAATGCAGTATGTGTTAATGATAATACTTATTGTGATCTTACTTTTACATGCAATTGTTGCGCACCTGCCCCTCAGACGATGTTGTTGGCAGAGTAAAAGATCATGGCAAATCAATTTTCAATATTGAAGTAACTAGTGACATATTTTCATTTGCATAAATGGTCGAAATCTTATTACTAATTTTTGATTAGACTAATTACTTTATTTAGACTTATTACCTTTATCTAGACTTATAATTTCTTACCTTGCAACTGGTGCTTAATAGTTATAAACATAGTATTATCTGAGCCCATTTCTTCTGAATGTCCTTTTTACTTTACCCTATATGTATTTGGTTATTCAATAAGGTTCTTTTCGATATGCTCAGGCTTTATTTATTATTTGTTTTGAGTATTGCTTCATAATAAAGAAATTTTTATTGAAATTAATATTTTTTTATGTATATTATTTGACAATTAAGAGATCACTAGTGTATTTTGCATACGTAAACCATGCTTTTAGATGCTTTAAACTTTATCTGCATTTATTAAGGGTTTCTAAAGCAGCTCACTCAATGTGATTAATTATTACGATTAATTGAGTGATTAACGTTAAAAAGTCATTGTTCTAAAGTTCAGCCAATCAGCAACTCCATGAAAAAAAATAGTTCCCCCTCCAAGTTTAATTATTGAAATTATAACTCGCTTGTTTGGTTTAGTGTCATAGGAAGACTTTATATGATTGGCTGTTTAAATCCATTTAATTTTACATTATTTATACAGTTTAATGTACTTTTTTAAAAAAAAATAAACCTACGAAGAATAAACCAAAAGAGGTAAATAAAAAATTTTATTAGGGTTGTAGTACTCAACCATTAAAAATAATCAAAATTATTTCTGGTTTTTGAGAAGTTAGCATAATAGCAACTTCTTAAAAATAGATAGAATTCAGTTGTTACTGTTCTAATTTCACTAAAACAAAAAATGATTTTGATTATTTTTAATAATGGAGTCTTATAACTCTAATAAACTTTCTATATGTTTATTCTCATAGTTTTATTCTTTTTTTTAAAGTACTTTAAACTTTATAAATTATTTAAGGATAGGAGCAAGTATTTTAAAATTATATATAAACCTAATGGTAAATTTTTTATATTTAATTTTATAAAAAATTATATTAAGTAAACTAATTTTAATCATTATATAAACGTTGTAGAGTAGGTTTTTCTGATTGTAAATAATAGTAAAATTATTAAAATAGGTTAAAAACTCATTGGGATATGAATCTTTAAAGATTAAGATATAAAATTATAGAATAAAATTAATTAATAGGTTTGCATAAATTAACCAATCAAATTTTTCATTTTTGTGCTATTTAAGTAAATTTAACTTACCTAAGTAAACTTTATTATATATACAAGTATATTTTTTTAAAATAATACAATATTTCAAAATTTTACCATAATAGATAAATAATTTTATTTATAATATTATAAATTTTTTTATTAAATAATTAAATAATAAAAAAGTTTTATTAGTAGCATATATCAAATTAGATGAAAATGTAAATATTATTATATAAAAATGATCTTCCTGACTCTATCCTTAAAATTAAAAAAGCAAAAAAAAAACTCTTTCTATAGATCATTAAAAAAAATAAAAGTAAACAAAAATTGGTACTAAAATATTGAATGTATTAACTACAATATAACAAAAAATATTCAAAGAGAGAGAAAATAAATTTTAAGAATACTTAAAACTTATCCAATATAGTCAAAAGACAAAGAACTTCAACCATTTAACTACAAAACTTCAAAACTTTATTTAACATTAACTTGGTACTAATACCTTCATAAATGAATCCTTATAGGGCCTCAATTCAACTAAACTCTTAAGTTATATCAGTTACATTTTAAACTTCTTAAAATGAAAAACCTAAAGAAAATGCAGAACTAGAAACAAACATCTCTTCTTTAAAAAAAAATAAAACTAACAATTCTAACTCTTCTATTTTTTTTACACTTTATTCTTGCCAAAAAAATTTAACAAAAAATTTAACAAAAAATAGGCAATCTAGTTTATTCTTTACAAAATTACAAATGATGTCATACACCACAGTTACCAATATAAATATGACCAAATCAGTAAAAATTTTAATATTTCAAAACTTCCTTATTATATTATCTGATCTATCATAATTAACATCTGTATCCAATAGTTTCATTTTAGAAAACAACTCATGGAATCCTTAATCAATTACATTTACAGAAGCTCTATCATCTCAATTAACCTTAATGTTAACAACTCATACCAATAGCATAGACATTATTTTTAACATTTCTAATAATTATCAACTTGTTATTACTAAATTATATAACAAAGTAGTAATATCTAACTTATTAAAACTAAAAACAATACAACTTTTGACTGCTATAATACTGTAACTAAAGCTCTTAATTAAGCCAACTACTTAACTTTGTTCTTCAAACTTGAAACAATAATAAAATAATTAAAACTCTTAACAACAAACAACAATTCTTAGAATTCTTTATTTACAAAATTTAAACTAATCTTCTAAATCACAATATTCTATATAGTATTAATCAAAAATTTAATTATTTAGACACAACATTTCTTTGCTTTTTCATAAGAACAAAAATCACAGCTCTTCAATATCAAAAAGAATTCAACTCATTATACCAAATTGCTTTTGAAAATATAAAAAATTATATAATATTATTTTGAGCAACAAATTTAACAAAGACCAAATTTACAAAAAACTCGAAATTAAACTTACTTTAGATTATATTAAAAACTTAGATTTTCTTATAATCAGCTTTTACAAATATACAAGATATATATTCTATTGTCTCAATTTTGTACAAATTCCTTGTATACTCACTTTTGAAGAAACATGTAAACTTTTTAATAAAACATATTCTTAACTTCTTATTATACTACCAACTTCTTCAGATCTAATTGACTAAAATATAAAAGAAATACTTCACTTTTCACTTCTAATTGAGGATCAAAAATATATTTGATCTACAATACTACAATAGAGAACATCTAAAAACATATATAGATGTCAAATTTTTACCTGCTTTGTAATATAAACCTGATTTTTTATTGGTTGAATTCTGTATAACTGTTGTAGGTGGATTCGGAATTCTGTAGATTCAGAATCCACTTAAGTGGATTCCGAATTAACTTAAGTGGATTTTAAATCTGGAAACAACTTAAGTGGAAATAGAATTTTAAAAATTGTAAACAATATGCATTTTGATAATAAAAAATATAATTTATAGTTAAAAGCATTGCATAATCATCATATTATTTATTTTCTATAACATTAAAAAACATGCTCTCTATTTTTGCATTTATTACTATGTGGATGACATCCGCTTCCACATACCAAATTAGAATGCCTACATCTACAAGAATTATTTTTGCATTCACTCTTGCAATTACATTTGGTGCCAGTTACAGTAGAAACAGACTGAATTCCTGCAGCTTCTTGTACACTGATAATTTTGTCTTGACAAACTTCAAGCTCTTTATATTCTGTTGGCCCTAGTGACATAATTTCATTTACATTAAAGGTGGTATTAAGTATTCCATTTTTACATTGTAAGTGATATGTTTCATTTGGCAATTCCTCGATTACCTTACAAGGTAAAGTAGACCGATTGATGGCATTACAATCTATTTTTGGAATTGCAATACATACGTAGTCATTAATAGAAAATTTAAGTGGGTGCTTATTATTTTTTCTTAACATTTGGTCTTTCATTCGGTTTTGATATTCAATAAGTGATTTATTTGCATATTTGCAGGATAGTTGATGTGATTGAATATTTTGAATTTCTCGCAAGTGTGAATTTTGTTCATTAACCTATTGAATAAAAAAATAAAATAAATAAAATAAAAAATAAAAAATAAATAATTTTACAATAAAAATTTACATTATCTTCTTGATTTATAATCAATGATCTATGTTGATTTAGCATCAATGGTTCAGGTTGGTGTAATGTCGATGATTCAGGTTGGAATAAAGTTGTAGATTCTTGATTTAATATTAGAGAAATTTCCTGATTTGGTGTTGGAGATCTGGATTGACTTAAAACTGAAGATTCTGGAAATTCTTGATTCAAGGCTAATAATTCGGATTGATCAGATGTTAAAGAATAAGACTGGTCTAATAAATAATTATTTTCTGATTTTTCAAAAAAATCGTCAGGCAACTCTTCCTCATTCATAACATTTCGTTGATATAAATCTTCAAGTATAAAAAAATTATTAACAGGATCCTGTCCGAATACAAGTGAGTATGGTGATTTTCCAGTTGCATGAGATGTTTGTATGTTCATCACATCTAAATATGTAACAGTAATACATAATAATTAATTGTTTTAATATATGTATTATATGCACATACATAATGTACATATAACTAATGGTAATCCTTCTGTCCAATTATTAGTTTTATTATCTTCTATCCATTTTCCAAGCTTGGTTTGCAAAATCCCATTACCTCTTTCAACCATGCCCTGAGACTGCAGATGTCTCGGGTGCCCATTAATGATATGTACACCAGGCCAAAGTGTCAGCAATTCTGCAATCAGATCAGCAGTAAACTCTTTACCATTGTCTAATTGCAGAATTGTTGGAGCTCCAAATACCACAAAAATATTATAAAGAAACACAGCTACTTTAGAGGCAGACTTGCTTGTGAGACATTGGGCCCATGAAAATTTGGTGAAGTGGTCACGAAGGTGACAGATATATTTATATACTCCTACAGGTTGGAAGGTTAATCCAATTAAATCTACTTGCACATGTGACAGGAAATCTGATGCTACAATTGGCTTTGCAGAGAGAGAATTAGAAAATGATCAATATGTAGTACATGTCTTGCAAGCACTGCAAAACTCCTTTATAACAATTGAGAAATATAATTATATTGTTTTCCAATCTAAAAAGCATTGTCATTATTATTTGTTACTGTAATGTTACAATTAAAAGAATTATATGATTTTACTTACAACATCCCATATTTTGGACGATCTAACATGTTTTAAAATGCCTGTATGAACCTTACATAATACATCATAAAGACGATTAAAAGGGCATATAGTACGTATTATTTCTGACCCATTTTCATTTTTAACAACAGTGATAATTTGAGTATTTGGATTTATTTTAGTTTCTAACTCCTGTAGCTGAAAGGAATTTTTAATCCAATATTGATCTTTTGGAGTTCCTAAATTTATATTGGTAGGATCATGTAGTACTGCAATAATAAGATTGTAATCAGATTGTGAAATAAAGGTTTTGCGATGTCTAGCAAGTAACTTTATTTCAAGAAATTTATTGACTAATTTGTTAAAAACTTGTCTCGAAATAAACGAATATTCTTGGATTGACATTTTAATTGTAAACTTTCACGAAATATAATACAATTTTGTTTTAAATACATTGATTTATAATTACTAATATTCGATTACTTAATTGATCTTTTTTATGATCCAAAATCAACTTAAGTTGTTTTTGGATTCAAAATCTACTTAAGTGGATTCCGAATCCACAGAATTCCGAATCCACCTACAACATAACTAAGCTAAAATTAATTTTATTGGCTAATAAAAAATTTTTTTTTTATTTTTTTATATTAAACTTCAAAAATTTTTTTTTTTTGATATTAAGGTGACTTCTTTAGTCTTTTGACTTTTATTAATTACTTATTGATATTGTAGTTCAATGAACCATTACAAAAGAATGTACAATTGGCTATACAAGTAACTTTTCTATATTACTTATTTAAGGAGTCTGCTTGAATGTTTCTCACCAATTGTTATATTTAACACTTTTGCTTAGGTGTTTTATTTTAAATTCTCTAAACCTGTAACTTGTGTTAACTTATTGGGTCATACTCAGATGTCCAGATCATTGTTTTAACCTTAGGACTAATTTATCCTTGAGGTAAACCCTTCAGAGTCTTCTGTATCTATTTTTACAGCTAACCTAAATATTGTTATAGCAGAACCAACACTTGTGGTTAGGGCTTAACCATTATATTACTATGCCCTTGTAGAGTTCACTTAGACCCCAGCATCTACTTTACAACATGATACTGGTACTTTAGTATACCATTGCCTTTTCACCTGTCTTTTTACCAAACTTCCAATTCAGATAGCTTGTATAGGACTATGATCAGTCTATCAATATATCAGCTTAGCCTGATATTTTTTTTTTTGGTTCATTCAGGTGGTCTAGTTGATAGTACCTCTAAGACTTCCAACCTAAAGGTTCTTGCCTATCTGGCTACTATGACCAGGTACTAGGCCTTGGTATTCATTTCATTAGGCTAGCCTTTACAGTAGAGCTGTTAAAGATCCAGCTACCTTTTTACTCAGGTTTTCCTAAATAAACTTCTTGTTACCCAATATTAACAAATTTACATGACCACAAGAACTTATCTAGTGTTTGTACTGCCTGATTTGTCAGTTTTTATTTTTCTATATAACTTCAACATTGCACAAATGCTCCATAACCTGCCAGTCATGCTGGTGCAACTGCTATTACAGATATCCTAACTTAATCATTAGTAGCAGTTGTCATAATATAAATATTATATAGGTGATTATTCAAATTTTTATCATTGATGGAATTTAAACACCCAACTTACTACTTGAAGAATTAACAAACTAATCACTTTACTAGGTTACCACATCTTTTAAATGCTAAAATTTTAAATTATATATAACTTTAATTTAATATTACTTTTTCAAAACTAAATAAAAAATAAAACATTTTTGTCAAATTTATAGTTTAGTTAAAAATCTATTAATTGTATAAAATTTTTTTTATATTGGTTTATTTTTAAAGATATAATATCAATTTAAAAATTTTATTATAAAAATTATATGGTTTTAGATATTGTTGGGTTCGGAAGATTGCAACTCTGTCACTCCAAAATTCTAAATCTCATGTAATGTATGACAAGTAACCTTTTCGAAAGAGGATGTTAGATTTGGCTTGTGGGCGAGAAAGGCTTTTGGTTACTTTGGGTCAATGAATGCAAGTAGAGTCAGTCATGTAGTCACAGGTTTGAACAGCATTATTTACAGAAGTTTACAGGATTTTGTAATAGTAATAGTGTTAGTGTTTATTAAATACTATGTAGGGTATTGGGAGTTATTATTTAATAAAGCAAACGAAGCATACCAAGCATACTGCTCTCAAGGGCCATTTTGGTCTTTATTTATAATACTAAATTTGTTGCTCACAAATGTGACTTTATACTGATTATTCCTTAAAACTAATTAAAACTATTTACAGTAATTTATTTAATATCTGTAAGGATATGTAATTTATCCTCACCTTATTCCTTATCTACCCTTCTGGATCTGAAATACCTTTTCTGATCCTAAATGTAACTTATTGCACTTATTGCATTTTATGTATTTTTCATATGATTGGTCATAATATTCAGTATTACTATTCCCGATTTTACAACAGCTACGACTATTATTAAAGCTCCTACATTAGCGAGTCTGTTGCTAATCGAAGGTCAGCCTCATGTAATGATCAGATGAGTGCTTTATTGTTCATAGGTAAGTACTATTCTCTTCTTCTTTTGAGTTTTTTCTTCAACCTACTTGTATTTACTAATTTTCTTTCTTCTGTATCTTTTCTTGTATGCCTCAACCTGGTATTACACTACATCGATTTTGGATCGGAACTCTTCTATTGCAGTGATGGCTTTATGGTCACGTGACTTGTGGCGAATGATCAACAGTGGGTTTAGCTTATTGAGACAGACAGGTTTTATTAGCGATAGTCACTGGAGTCTTATAAGACAATACTTGCACTTTCCTTAGGGTTGGGTAAGTAGTTTGTACTTTGCAGTTTGTAGTTACTTTATTATTTGTTTATTAATTCTATCTAATTCTATCTAAAATCCATCATCACAGTATCTTCCACTGTAGCATTTTACAAAATCTACACTTTTGACTAACTTAATGACAACTACTTTGCTAATTCTATCATTTCTCTATCTAACAATCCAACAGATCTAAATGCAGAAACATATACAATGTTTCTAATAACAAGCTAATCTGAACTACCTTACTTAGCAGAATACAAATAAAAACTATATAAATATTATAACTTTATCTATATACTATTTAACTATTTTAATTTATAACCTACTTAGGAATCCTTATTATCAATATCTCAAAACCTTAACTCAGCTGTAAGATAACTTTTCTCTTACAATCCTAAAGATGCAACTAATTTTTAATGCTATGTAAATGTTCTCTAAGAGCATTATAGTTTTCACAAAATTCTAAATAATTACTTTATTCAAAACAAACTACTTTCAAAGAACCAAATCAAATTAAGATCTCTATAACTTATAATTTCCCTATAACTGATTATCATCTGACAAAAAAATTTATAGCAGAAATACAAAATACATATAAGTTCAACATCTCATTACTAGTAATTAGTACTATTTATATTAATATCTGTTTGCCAATATGTGATTAATATTTGATTAAAATCTGTAAGATGTTTACAGATTTTGCTTATAATAATTTTTTCATTATTGAAAGTAATCAGCCATGGTTTATGTTTTTTAGAAATATTGTATATATTATATGCAAAGAAGTTCATTTTATGCTGTTAGTATTAAAGTTTGAGAGAATAATAATAATGATTTTTTATAATAAAATTTTTGAGTTTAGTAAACCAAATCAATTTTTTGTCTTTAGTTAAATAAAGAATTCTTGATGATAGATATAGTTATTTAAAAAGTATAGTATTGTTTAAAATGCAAAGTTGTATAAAATAAAATAGGTTTAGTTATCTAAGTTGTTTTTTAAAAGTTGTATATTTGAAGTGATGTTGAGAAATAAGTTTAAAAAGTTGAAGCTAATAATGGATGGTGGTGTTTGTTCATGATGTATTACTATTAGCTCTAATAGAAACAGCAATTTGTAGAAATAGTTGAATAATTTTAAAATTAAGAATATATTTATCTTGATCATCAACATTAGGTTAAGGATGTTTAAGAATGTTTATAGTAGACTAAAGATTGTTTTAGAGCTATTGTAATCTAATATATATAGAAACATCTAGTAAATAGGAGTCATTAATTTATTAAAGAAAAAATAGTAATATGGTGTTGTAATTGTATATCCCAAATGTTACATATATTGTATAAATAAGAGTAAAGCATTGTACTATTAGGAATTGATTAGGCAAGATGAGATTTGTATTTAGTAACTGTAAGATATTTAGCCAGTATGCAATTATATATAGTTTTAGGAAGTATAATATTATATATTCTGTATTTTAATGTTGGAATAATAACTGTATTAATAATGTAAATAATTTGTTTGTTTATGATATTTTTTGTGTTTGCAGTATTAATTAGTTAAAAAGCTTCTTTTTGAATTAATTTAATTGTATAGGTTTGTTTATTGTTAAGTGTAAGCCAATAATCTAGATATTTGAAAAGTTAGTTATTAGAAATAGAGTTAAGAATAGAGTTAAGGAAGATAATAGAAGTAGGTTTGGCATTTGTAACAAATATTGACTTAGTAAGATTAATTTGAAGGTTGGCTAATTGGTAGAAGAATACTACTATTTGAGTAATTTGTTCTAACTCATTTTTGAATTGAGCAATTTATAATATATTATCTATATAAGCAAGAACTAAGATAGAAACTTGAAGGTGTCAAGGAATATAATCTGTAAATTGAGATGCAATTTTGTGAATAAAAGAGTCATAGTAAATATGCAAAATAATGGTGTTATTGTTTCTTCTTGATCAATTTAATTTTTAACAAAATATGAATCTGTAAGTTTAAGATTAGTTATAACTCAGTTATGACAGTTATCAAATAGATTAGTAAAAACTTCTACTAATTTAGGTGGCATGTTAATTTGTATTAGAGATTTGTAAAAAAGGTTGAAATTTATTAAGTTATAAGCTTTGCTTATATCTTGAGATATGAGCCAAAGTTCTTAAGAGTTGTAAGAGGCTTCTTTAATTATATTGTTAAGTATATAAATTGGTATTGCTATACTGTTACCAGAAAGAGTAATATAGTTATTGAAAGATAGTATTGAATATGAAGTAAAAGTAATGTTTAAGTGGTTGGTAAGAAGTTTGATGTATAATTTTTTAATATGTTCTAAAAAACTAATAGGTCTGATATTAGTTAAACTTTTATCAAAAATAAGTTTTTTGAAAATAGAAAGATTCTTTCTTCTTTTCATTATTTGGGTATATTGTTAGTTGAAATGCATTTATTAAATAGGAGAGTTATAGCTTAAAGAAATAGTAAATCTCAATGTTTAAGCATTTTATAACTTATGCCTAAAGAGCCACAAGCTTTATTATTTGGAAGTTTTCTAA